ATTATTTTACAATAAGAAAACATTCAAGGAGACTAAGTAGGGGATTACTCGCTGTAACGTTAACAACCATGTTTTAGTACATTCTGGAGCTGAGTTGCTAAATGATACTCATGAGGCTCTAAGGACTTTTATCTCTCTGCTTTGTGGGTTTAGGTGTATTTAAAAACTGTTTCCTCTCCAGATCTCTCTTTATGGGCTGCATGGGCTGATCCGGCACGGTAAGATGTTATATGAGAGAAATCACACAACCCTCAGAGATCATGTTTGCTGCACAGCAGCTTGCCGCCATGATCTCTTGTCAGCATGCAAAAAAAAAAAAAAAGAAATCAATGGAGCGCACCGTCAACATAAGCAGCTCCTAATGCTCTTCCTGTGCGATAGGACGGAATTAGATTGCTGCTGTGGTCCATAATGGCATGGCCGGGCAGGTGAAAAGGATTGAAATTGACGGTGATTGAAAATTAATCGAATGACCCCGACATGGGATCCATGAATGCGCTCGTGCCCCGCAGGTTGTTCATAAAGCAGAGGATAATTGCACTGACAGGCCACTGGTGCTCCAGAGCGTGACCTGGAAGGAAAGGTTAAACTTCAGTCAGCGACAACCTGACAGATGAAAAGACAATTTGACCAACACCTGTTTGTAAAGCAGATGATTTATGCTAAATGTTCATGGAGAATAAAGGAAAAGTGTGACAACACACTTAATTACATCAAGTAACAGGTTAGCATTTCTGTTAACTGTGCAACATATATGTTAAAGCATTAAGTCATCCTTATCTGTATACTGCAGTAATGTTTGGGACTACATTGTGCATTTTTAAACAGTAAGCTGTATTTTTTTTCAGCTGTTAGAAAAGCAGCAAATTATGAATCTTTCTCTGCAGAAACACTGTTATGGGGAACATCTCTGCTCAAACTGTGAACCTAATGTGTTTGTTATTGCACACTAATTAAAGTGTGCAGTACAATAACCAGAGAGGGTCTTGTTTTTATTTTTTTGTCTTCTGCTGTATGCTCCTCTACTTAATGTAGTCAGTCCCCCGCTAGCCTTCCAAACTAGATATAGATAGCTACATGTGTTATTGCTTCATCAGATGCTTAACAAGACCGTCTAAGTACTGCTACAGAATGTTTCTCTTTCATATTATTTTATTTGGTTTAATGAAGTGTCATGGCAAAAATAAAGGTTACCAGAATGTAGACAAAGGTCACAAAAAGATAATCAGATTTTAAAAAGACCTGAAATGCTAAGTAATTAAAGTAAGCATGGAAATATGTGATATCTCCCCTGCAAGTTGGGAAGGTCCAACACACACGACAAACAATCATGCACACACATACAGAACAATCAGAGTAATCTAACAGCCATGTTTTTTGACTGGAGGAAAGCCCATATACACTGAGAGAACAATTCAGTGTACTGGGAGAACATGCAGACTCCATTAAGAACAACTTCAGGTCAGAATTCAATATCAGGGCTGTGCTAGCAACTGTGATACCATGCTGCATGTCTGCTATATGAAATAAATGTGTTATGGTAAAGCAAACGAACTTGGATCTTCAATTAAGATTTAATATAATAGATATTCTTTAATATTTTACATTTTCTCTGCAAATTATTAGCTATTCGTATGGGTAAACCAGAGTTTATATGTCCTTCAAATGTTCAAACTCAAAGCATTCGCATTGCCTAAAGAGATGGGTATTGGGTATGTCCCTGACACAACATTGAATGCAAATTAGATTTTGTATTTAGGTATTTAATGCAAAGTCTACAATTATTTTTCATGCATTTGTTTGAATCGGTCACATGACATTCCTAAAGAGAGGCTTTGTTTGCATCATGCAGGTTGGAGATAAATATCAAATACTTATTCAGCAGCAGCGATTCAAAATGGCCCTTCCCAGTCAAATGCCAGTGGAATGGCAACCCAATTCCCTCCAACTTCCAGCCACTGGAGTGACCCGGTCTTGCATAATATTTTACTCTGACTGCACCCTTTCACTGAATTACAGGGTCTGACCAGGAGATGATGCTTCTCTTTTGGTCTTAATGTCCACAACTTATAATAAAAATAATATTTTAGTACAAAGATTGATGTTTAAAAAGGAATTGTAGGGGACCAGCCAAGGGTCCATCAAGGAAAGTGGGCAAATTTTGAATGGCTACTATTGTAATCTAAAATATACCAATATTTATACTGAAACATGTATTTTTTAAGCAAGAGATGAACTCAGAAATTATACGTATTGTTGATTAAATTGTTAGGAATTTAAAATACTGTATGTAATATATGATGCTATAAAAGAAATAGTTCGAACAATAAATAACTTTAATTAAATTTTGGGAACTGATATCCTGAAAAATATTGTATTATATGTATAATATTGTATTTTATTATATTATCATTATATCTTAAAAAAAAAACGTTAGAACTGTAAATTTACAGTCATATGTTTATATTACTGTTATTATATATTTATTAATTTTTATTAATTTTATTTTTTTTACTATTTTTCAAGGCTGCACTTTTAAATAAGATGAAATTGTCCAGAGCTGTTCCAAAACGACAATTTACTGATATTGTTTGAAAACAGGGTTGTTACTCCTCTCCACTGACGCTGTCCTGTTGTTCCGGTGTGTCACAGCACATGATTGCGATTATCCTTGTCCTGTCCTTCCTTTCCCCGGCTGAGCATCTGCCCACCCCCTTGAGGGTTTGAGATCCGTATGTCAGCGTGGCCACCTGCACTTCACAGCTCTCAGACAGTTCACATATTTGGCTCCTAAACATAACTGGCAGGCACAGATCAAAGGAAGAAAGGCTGAATGACAGCAGCCGGATCAAAGTCCACGTACGCAAACACATGGGCACACTCATGAAATCCCTGTGGTTCCCCTTTGAGAACTTGGAGATATTTGGTGATGGCTTCATCACATGAAAACAGGCCACTCTAAAAATCGCACACACATGCCTCCACTGCATTAGTTGCAATGGCACAAGGATGAAATGGGAGATCCGAGTTGCAGAGGAGAGGGGTTTCTCTTTGTGTTTCATCTCATCTTCTCCACCTCAAAAGAAACATCCAAGCATGTTTCCAGTTACCCAGCATGCCTTCCTACCCACAGAGGGAAGGTTGTTTGTTTTTGGTGGGCATGCTGCCTCATTGAGGGAAGGAGGGAAGGGATAGCATGGCGAATGTTAGGCAGGGCTTCTTTCCAAAGCGGATGATTACAAAAACTCTAGCAGGTGTTGATGTCCTGACTGCAAATTCCCCTGTAGACCAGGGCTGACCAAAAACGGAATATGCACAGCCGGCATGTTTACAAGCCTTTGTAAAATTTAAAGGGAGAGAATGGTCAATGCCTGTGATTAAAATTCATGCCACAGCAACTGTGAACAAGTGTGTTTACAGTGCTAATTAAAAAAGAGCAAATCAAGAAGTCAGCAGTTGATTCAGATTCGTGAAATGATTGGAGTTGCAAATGCGTGAATGTCTTCAGTCTCCTTAGATCTATATCCAGCCAAGGTTCTGTTATGGGAGAGGTCTGGTCACCATGGGGATGAGAAAGACTGCATTATCTGCTCAGTAGCTGGCTGGCTCAAGGGATTGCTCAAAGGAGGGATGGAAAGGCAGGAAACTGGACGACACATGTCCTTTTTTTCATGTAAAAGCTTGACTTTGGTATTTATGACACTATATGATACTGGGCCTTTAAATCTTTTAATACCCGTTTGAACTAAATTACATCTGATTACGATGTACAGTAACTGCAAACTTCCAAAATGTTTCATTTAGATTTTTCGTTATTTCCACACACTGTAATGCATAAGTGGTTAAGTGAAATAAAAATATTATATCTATATAGATATATAGTCAGTCCCCTGTCAGTAGAATATAAATATCTATTCATTCTAACTTACCCGAAAACACTTAATTAAAAATGTGTGCACATAATTATCTTCAAAAGGTGGCCAATTTTTACACAGAGTATTCTGAAAATATGCAATGTCCTGAAGAGTCCCTATGGAAACAAATAAAAAGAAATAGCAAATTAAGGAGAGTGTTGGCCTAGTGGGTTAGAGCTGTGGCTTGCGCTCTGAGAAGGTTGCCAGTACCTGGCTGAGCCCCACAGCCTCCACTCTGGGTCTCTGTGCAAAACCCTTAACCCCATACTGCTTCCCGAGCGCCACTCAATGACAGCCCTCTGCTCCCCAAGGGGATGGGTTAAATGCAGAGAGTGAATTTCTCCATTGTGGTACAATAAAGGGATTTACATTTACAAATCACTCTGAAACTTTTCTAGTAGGTGAAACATGGTGGTGACAGCATCATGCTGTGGGGGTGATTTTTAAGAAAGCAGGTTTAGTTTTCATGTGAAGATGGATAGAGTTTTCTAGAAACGGCAAAAGGCTAAATATCCACATAACACTGAGCCTAAACACACAGCAGCAAGAAAAGTTTAGGAACCAGCACTGTAGACCATTTAAAATGTCCCAGTTCAGAGTCACACCAGATTTGAATCTATGGCAAGGCTTAAAAATGAGTTACCACATCGCTCTCCTTTCAATCTGACTGAGCTTTACCCCTTTTTTTAAAAGAAAACAGTCTCTGGATGTTGCAGCTGTAATCTAAGCATTAGAAGCTTCCAGAAAGTGTTGAGTGAGTTGGCAAAACTTGTATTTCATTTCAGAAACACACCAGCAGCCGGTAAAACATTTCTTTTTCAGCCAGACTGGGATTGGTGAGAGCTGGTGCAGAATACATTTTTCAGGTTGGGCGAGGAGAACATAAGCTTATCAGACAGATTCTAAACTTTTGAAGATATTCTATATGTCACCTCAGGTAAAAGCGGTTAATCATATTGTACAATTTATAGGCTAATGAATATTTTAAGCTTTGTATCTTGAGTTAAGGAAATATATTTCTAATACTGCCTTTAAGTCAATTTTATATTGTCCTTTAAGTTGTTTTTTTCTCTTCTTCTGTTGCAGGTGTTCCTAATAACATTGGTCCAGTTAGTAAGTAGACAGCATCAGAATATTACTTTTTTTTACTAAACAAAAGCCGTATAATAATGCTTGATGCTTTGCTTTGCTTGCTGTTCCGCCCTTCATCTAACATCCTCAACTGTGGTGCCAAGTGTTCATTTCTGATTCAAATCTTCCTGCAAAAATTTCTCAACAACTATTGACTTACATTTCTCATGGTGGGGGGTTGGCGTGAGGTGGTAAGACATAGCTGGAGGCTATATTGTCATGATGCGGGCATATTAATTTACCTCATTCAAACTCTACCAGATAGCACTTGCCTGGCTTTGCATGCCCAATGTCATTTGTTTTTCCCCTCTCCCGTTCTCTCACATGCATTATAAATAAATGGCATCTAGACTTTATTAAAGTGCCAAGACCTCTCTGGCAGTATAATGTCAGGGGGGGTCATTTTAATATAAGCCTCAAACGCCTTGGCTGGTATTATCTTCGTCAAGCAGTAGCCCCTGAGGAGGGTGGAGCAAGAAAAGAGGTGCCATGTCTCAAGTTACCGCTGCCTGGAAGGCGGCGTGATGCAGGGAACCATATGAATGTATTGAACAAGTCAAAGTGCATCCACAACCGGGCTCAATTCTCCTTAATCTTCTTTATTCCATCCTTCTTAGAGTATTCTCTATTCCCAGATTTATTACTAAATTGATTCCTTGCTGGTATGGACTGGCTGATTTAAGATGCATGTCCAATTTCTCTGAACAGATGCTAGATTGTGTTAACTTTTGCTTGTAATTAAATAGATTTTAAAACTTTTTTGGCTGTTATATAAAGTGATAATACCTTAAAGTAAATTTAGTGTAAAACACTGTGTCAAATCATTCTGGGTTCCTCAAAAAGTGTTGCTATAATTAGTAAAGAACTTCAGAAAGCCTTAAAATAAATCTTTTATCACACTGACTGAATTTTTCCAAACATTATACAAATATGATTGTGAAAATTCTCAGTCATCCATGTCATAGTCATTCCATTAGAGTTAAAAAAAAAAAAAAAAAAAAAACACTTGGCTTTGCTTTCCAAGTTTGAAGACGTTTCCAAGACGGGTGGACCTGTTTTTTTTTCAGTTCAATTTAAGTTTTCTAAGGCAAAGCAAGGTTTTTGTTTGGGCCACTACAGCCTTTGATCATAATCTTCTAATTTGCTAATGCCCCAATAAAAACATTAAAGAAGAAACTATATGTTATATTAACTATGATCACTACCTGTAATTTGTTTAGACTGCTTGAGTTCTCACAAAGACCAGAAAAGTGGACCACATTAGTCCAGTTCTCAGGTCTTTACACTGGCTGCCGGTCCATCAGAGAATAGACTTTAAAGTTCTGTTGCTGGTCTATAAAGCTCTGCATGGTTTAGGCCCAAAATACATCAGTGACCTCTTGACCCAGTATGAACCTACTAGACCCCTCAGGTCATCCGGATCTGGCCTTTTATCAGTTCACAGAGTCAGAACCAGACATGGCTGCATTCAGCTTCTATGCTCCACATGTCTGGAACAAACTCCCAGAAAGTCTCAGATTAGCTGAAACACTTAGTTTATTTAAATCCAGGCTGAAGACTCACCTGTTCTCAGCTGCATTTACGTAGATTTTATTCAAAAGTTAAAATTCGCCCGTCTCTGTATTCTCTCTTTTTAATTTTAAATGTTTTTAATTTTGAATCACGCTTTTAATTGTTTTTAATTGTTTTCTTTCCCTTTTGCTTATAATGTTTTATGTTTGAATTGTTCTGTACATGAAATGTGCTATACAAATAAACTTGCCTTGCCTTGCCTAGACAGTAAATTAAATTTGCTGTTATGACTAGAAATGTATCACGATAACGATAAACAATATGATAATTCCTACCCTTAGCGCAGAGCTCCGCCAAGTAGCTAATTTCCCCCAATATTATAGTGACTTCCATCTAAAGTTCATACCTGTAATCACAGAATCTTTTAAAAAAATTGCCTAATCCACATGGTGATCTGGATCATCACTATAATCTTTTCAGTAAAATAATTACATAACGCTTTTAGTCACTTTAAAAACCCAGAGACAAACCAGTGCTGATGAAAACATAATCTCCTTGGAGGAGTTAGATGAGTTGGGATAACCTGGCATTCTAGTAAAGCATTGATCGTCTTTGGTAAAGAAAGTTCTACAATAAAATAGCCACTAGCCTAAACCTGCCCATATCTACAATCAGTGCATTAAGCATTATTGAAACAGGAACCTCAGGGCTAAATGATGAAACAAGTTTATGCTGCAATGGAATACTTAAGGAGGATGATAAAGGATGGAGAAATGTTTTTCAAAACTAAGATAAAATCAACTAAAATAAAAGATGAATTTTAAGGCTTTTTTAGACATCTTTACCAGAAGTGCTGATGAATTATTATGGTGGTTTAATAATTGCCAGGTAAACAACCTCAGGTTTTCTAAAGTGTGCAGTAATCTTGTTTGGCATTATATCTAAGCTAAGATGAGCACAGTTTTTTTAAAACATGTTTGTTTCAGAGAAACAAAAAACAGTCTGTTTTTAGTTTTTAAATCAGACACATGCAAGACCAGAACGTTACTTTAAAATGTAATTCTTTTAGACGAGTCAGAAATGAACACGCAGCCCGCTTCCAGTCTAAAAATCCTACACTGCTTGACTCCGCCATCACATCTGTAGAAGTTAGGCCTCTTTTCTGTGCATGGCAGGACTAGAGTTTGACAAGTGGGTGCGTATGTATGTGTGCGTCTGCATGCTCTTCATACATACATGCTTGCACATGTACATCTCATGTGTCATCCAAAATACCAGGCCACACCATGTCCAACAGTTGTCGTCAAATCCTTTACATGAAGAGTGTCCAACTTGATCAGTGTGTGTTTCTTTGGGGGCTTTTGGGGTGATATGTGTGTGCTTGAAGGGTGGGGTGATGTAGATTGGACACAAACCCAAAGTCTTCACTTCTCATCCGGAAGATTGGCCCCCTGGGGGGAGAATTAGGATTTCTCATGACTAGCTGTCTCGCTGCAGCAGCCCCCCCACAGAACGATGCTAACAGTAAAATCTAAACATGCTGACCGCCTTTCTTTTCTAAAAGACGCTGAAGAGGATGCAGCTGTTTTCAGCTCAAACAAATATCAAGTTTATGTCGGCATCATTAAAAAAGCAGCAGGAGGGGAGGGAAAAGGTTATGACGTCCTTGAGGTTGTTGAAAGGACCCGAGGCGGAGAGTGTGTTTGGGGAAAAAATGGAGCAATGCTCTTTTCATGTTGTTGTTGGTTGAAGGTAATTGAATTCCTTATTGACTTTTCTCAATTCTATTTCAAGTTTATTAAGCCGGGCAGAATTGCCTAATGCGGACCATTAAAGTGAAATTAATATTTTAAAAACAATCCTGGCCCTGCTAGATTGCATTTCATTATGAGTATGGCATTGATTAAAATCCGTCACCACTCATTTAACTCGCCTTACCTGCATATTCTCCATAGCCAAATAATTAATGGGACCTAGATGTGTGTTAAAAATCAGTCAAATGCAAACATGAAATTAGCTGCCTTTATCAAATATATCTCACGGATCTGGCCGAGGCGCTCAGCCTCTGTGAATGTATTTTTGTTCCTCCTTGTCCCGGCAAGTCTGAGGACACAGCTTTGCTGTGAAGTGTTCATCATAGCGACCAAAGGAAACAAATACAGATAATAGGGAAAACAAACAGGGCACTTTTCCTTTTGTAAGACATAAGACCTTAGTTTGAGTGGTGATGAGCCGTGCCCTGCTTCTTAAGCTCTTTATTTGTTAATCTGTCATTTCAAAGAGCCTCGCATCCAGGCAACTTACATGACTTAAAACCCCAGGAGATGTTGCATTTGGCTCTCTATTAAGGACGGCTTCAGTATATATACACTATATTGCCAAAAGTATTTGCTCACCTGCCTTGACTCACATATGAGCTTAAGTGACATCCCGTTCCTAATCCATAGGGTTCAATATGACGTCGGTCCACCCTTTGCAGCTAGAACAGCTTCAACTCTTCTGGGAAGGCTGTCCACAAGGTTTAGGAGTGTGTTTATGGGAATTTTTGACCATTCTTCCAGAAGCGCATTTGTGAGGTCGCACACTGATGTTGGACGAGAAGGCCTGGCTCTCAGTCTCCGCTCTAATTCATCCCAAAGGTGTTCTATCGGGTTGAGGTCAGGACTCTGTGCAGGCCAGTCAAGTTCATCCACACCAGACTCTGTCATCCATGTCTTTATGGACCTTGCTTTGTGCACTGGTGCACAGTCATGTTGGAAGAGGAAGGGGCCAGCTCCAAACTGTTCCCACAAAGTTGGGAGCATGGAATTGTCCAAAATTTCTTGGTATGCTGAAGCATTCAGAGTTCCTTTCACTGGAACTAAGGGGCCACGCCCAGCTCCTGAAAAACAACCCCACACCATAATCCCCCCTCCACCAAACTTTACACTTGGCACAATGCAGTCAGACAAGTACCGTTCTCCTGGCAACCGCCAAACCCAGACCCGTCCATCAGATTGCCAGATGGAGAAGCGCGATTCGTCACTCCAGAGAACGCGTCTCCACTGCTCTAGAGTCCAGTGGCGGCGTGCTTTACACCACCGCATCCGACGCTTTGCATTGCACTTGGTGATGTATGGCTTGGATGCAGCTGCTCGACCATGGAAACCCATTCCATGAAGCTCTCTGCGCACTGTTCTTGAGCTAATCTGAAGGCCACATGAAGTTTGGAGGTCTGTAGTGATTGACTCTGCAGAAAGTTGGCGACCTCTTCGCACTATGCGCTTCAGCATCCGCTGACCCCGCTCCGTCAGTTTACGTGGCCTACCACTTCGTGGCTGAGTTGCTGTCGTTCCCAAACACTTCCATTTTCTTATAATACAGCTGACAGTTGACTGTGGAATATTTAGGAGCGAGGAAATTTCACGACTGGATTTGTTGCACAGGTGGCATCCTATCACAGTTCCACGCTGGAATTCACTGAGCTCCTGAGAGCGACCCATTCTTTCACAAATGTTTGTAAAAACAGTCTGCATGCCTAGGTGCTTGAATTTATACACCTGTGGCCATGGAAGTGATTGGAACACCTGATTCCAATAATTTGGATGGGTGAGCAAATACTTTTGGCAATATAGTGTATATATATTTTTTAAGACAAAATAAGGAAATCAAGGGATTCAAACACTGTAATCTACAGTATAGGCTTTTAACGAGGCGGTTTGAGAATAAATGACTTTTTTTTCTTGGCTAAACATGACTGTAGAGTTTCACCAAGGTCAAAGCTAAAGTCCTGTACACTGAAAGGGATATGAAACCATGACAGAGCTTTACGGAAATATTTATAGCCTTTGAACTTTTTCACATTTTAGCATGTCATGACTACAAAAGTCAATATTTGGGTGGGGGCTGTTGCAGACCGACACCATTATTCTCTGTTAATATTATGTCACTAAATTAAACGCAGCATAACTAACTGCCTTTGGAAATTTAGCATCTGCTTTTAATTGTAATAGCCAGCTGTTATGTGGTGTTTTCAAAGGTTTACTTGAGAGAATGAGTGAACAAACAGGATCATGCACATCAATGTGAACAACTGACAGCTCAGAGTTTGGGGTGTAGAAACAATTAAAGTAAGGTTATTAATGTTTTGGCCAACATCCAGAACTCTTAAGTGTCGAATACTAAAACTGCACATCATCCTCCACACAGAATCTCCACTGTAAAGCACGGTGATGGCAGTCCCCATCTGTGGGGATAGTTGTTTTTCGACAGGGAGTAAAGGTGACAGTAATATTTTTCAATGCTATTTAGCTTTTTTGTCAAGATGCTGGGAACTAGTTGGGTTTTTTGTTTTTAAAAAATGTAATTTTTCAAATATATAAATATACATATATATATATAAATTTAGCAAATATTGTTGGTTTTCAAATGACGACAGATTTTATGAATTATAAGCAACATTTACAGCTCTAAATGAGCTTTAATTACCTTTTTTGATGAGTGTAAAGGCTCTCTACATTGTTATGGTTGTAGATCCCTGGGCTGGCATGTTTAGTAGAGATTTACCTACCAGCAAGACATCGCCACAAAATGTACAGTACAAAAGAATGGTTTAGACCAAAGCATAACAATGCAAAAGAGAATCCTAAATCTAATCTTAGAATGTATGAAAAAACTTAAAAATCAAATAGTTTAAACCATCACAATCTTTATCGTATGTCTTATCTTATATTAGATTGACAGATAAACTCCTAATAAAAAAGTTTTGTATTATACCACAACAAAATATAAAAAAGTTCAAGAGCTATAAATACCTTGGCAAGGCCACATGTCCTTATAAAATAGTCATATTTTTTTAAAAAAACCTCTTTGCAAGCAGCTCTCATATTCTCTTTGCATGCATAGTTAAGGAAATAGGCTTCTTGCCAAGTCACAGCTGGATGTTAATTGGCAAAGATTGCATGATTCATGGAGTCGATAGCAAAGGGACAGAAAGATCAAGTGAAGAGATAAGGGGGCACAATGATCCGGATTCCTCCCATTTGGCTGAGTCCTCTCCATTTCCAACCACAAAGTATTTTCCTGACACGGAAATACTGACTTGTATGTAATTATGAGGTTATGCTACCCACAGCAGTCCATCATTCCAAGTACCAGCACCTGCCATTATTTATTCATTGTTATTCCTCCACCAGAAATACGCCATAATTAGATATTGATTACCAAGTCAATGTGATGAATTAAACAAAATGCCCCCCAACGTCTTCGTTTGCCATACAAAGTATCAAATTCCCTGCATAAAACATGTATGAAATGTTACGTTTAAGAGGGTTTTATTTTTGTTTCTGTAGATCTCTGATCATTATTCCCATGTCCACAAGCATATAAACAAAACATGACCATGAGGTTACAAATTACATACAACGTTTTCCAATGTCCTTTTAAAAAGGGTCCTTGGATGCATTCTCCTTGCTCATCCTTGTCAGCCCTGCCCCCATTGTATTTGCAGATTTCTGACCTACTGATTTGAGTCATTCCGGACATCTTCATGTCTTCAGTTGTCTTTGTCAACAACCACATAGTCCCCTCCCTTCCCGTAGACAATCTGTTAAGTGCATCACACAAAGACACATGAATAACTCATGATTTCTTCTAATTGCAAGCAGTACGGCCGAATGTCTCATCTCTAGGTGTTGCTAACCGAAAAGAAGGTAGGCATCTCAGATTATGACACAGTTACCTTTTCCACAGATGATAATCAAAAACTGGTTCTTGGTAGCCAAAACATTTCTGGAGTACCGTGTATCACCTTTCCTGGGCACAAGAAAAACTAGAAAGCTCTTTATCTACTGCTTTTGGTTATATATTGTGACAATTTTAAGGAGAACTGTGTATTTAGAATGCTGTACTTTAGTACTTTAATTTCTCTATCCTTCAGTGTTTGTGTTGTAAAATTATAGATTACCTACACACATCCTAGAAAATTATCATCTAATTAGTTGGGAAAAATGAACAGATTTCCATGAGGCTCTATGCCGATAACAGTTTTTTTGTTTAATTCATCATGTACAGTGTTGTGAAAAAAAATGTTAGCTTCCTTTTTGCTTTCTTCTGTTTTTTGTTTGTTTTTGTTGCTTTTTAATTGAGTAACTAGTTTTATTAGTTTTAAGATCATTTAGGTTAATACAAAATGCAGTTTTCAAATGAAACCAAAAAAAAGAGCTGCCCCTGTGCGAAACTCTTTTTACCCTTGGAAACAACAGCTCCTTTATGTTTGCTTTTTTTGATAGATTTTATCATATTCTCTTTATCCTATGATTTTTATTGCAGTCACATTAAGGTTTTTTGTTTTTGTTATTTTCTTGTTAGCAGCCTGTTAAGTGTGCCAGTATTTCAGTTGAAATTCATTACAAACTTATACAAAGCCACTTAGACCCTTAGATTCTTTGGTAATACATTTTGGATTTTTCGCCATTCAAAGGTGAATTTGCTCATGTGGACTGGAGTATTCACCTGTTGCATAGCCCTTATGTATTTGCACTTAAGGTCCCAAACTAACATTCAAACAGACATTTTTCGATTCTGTAAAATAACTAACTTCAGAGTTTAATCAATTATGACAAGTCGTACAGGTCCCGAGGACACTAACCAAAAACAAACTATCCCATTACTAACACCATGCCTGACTGTCAGTGTGATGGGTTTTTGTTTCTGATAGTTTTAAAGAAAACATAACTGAATGAAGACACCTGGAAAAGTAAGGGTTGCTCCACTCCAATACTTTCCGAAGTCTGGGGAATTACAATAATGTTCTTTTGCAAATTTGAAATGGATACTCGTGTCCTTTTTACAAGGCGGTTTATTTAGTCATTGAATTCTTCCCTTAATAGAATTTTGGCCTTGTCTTTTTCTTAAGGCTCCCACAGTCAAGCACACTGTCCATATACTGTGAGCTGAGCAAACTCCACGAGCACTGTCTGCAGACATTTGAGATTTCATGATTAAGTGTACCACTGTCTTACATTTCTGTGACAGATTCTTACATTTCCTATCTGTCATGACATAATGGTACCAAGATGAAAAACTATTTTGCAAAAGAAAATAGTTCTGTACATTTCCACTGCAAATCTGTCATTTATTCTAGACTCTGCACCCTAGCAACTGGTTGTATACCTACTATCGCCTGTGTCATGTTTTCTTTGGTGTCACATATAAAAGAGCTCCACATAAAAACTTTGTTTGGAATGAGGTCAAAATAGTTTTAAACTAATTAAGAACAATTGGAATGTGTTTAAACCAATTCTTAAAACCATCTCAAAAGCAATTAAATCCATATTATGGAAATCCAAGAAGGTAAATACAACTTTTTAGGCTAAAATAATATTTTATTAAATAATTTGCTTTAATCAGAAATAGATAACACTTTAGATAATTCATTTTTAGATAGGGTTTAGGTAGGGTCCAAAACGTATTTTGTTAAGTTCTGGTAAAACAACGGAGCTAGTATCTAGCACACGACTGGACTGTTTTTAAAGAAAACCAACAGCTCAAAACATGTCAGCATATGGGACCATGTGGTCACCATTAGGTTCTTGTTATCAACCTAAACCCAAATTGTTTAGCTGGAAACTGTTTAATTAAATTTGCCTGACATTTAATCACGGTTTTGGAAAGATGAGCTGTCTCCTAAGATCAGGACAGCTAGCGCAGGCTGTAATGCTGGATGAGTCTGTGTTCACATTGCCTTGCAGAGAGGTCTCTGTCCTTTGAGGTCTCCTGGTTCTGGATCAAAGTCTGAGGTACTCGTGGAGACTCAGAGATAATCTGCCAGACCATCTGTTTTGCAACAATCTGGTTCTGAAGTGACTTCACGAATATTTAACTGAAGCAGAAGTTTAGGAATTAAGTCCATTTAGCCATAAAATTTTTGTTCCCCCAGATGTGGCACCTATCTGGAATCCCACAGGTAGTGGGACAGGATAGCAAATTCCTATGGGAGAGTGTTGTAGAGGGTGATAGAGAGGGGATGATGCAGCAGTATGGAGAGTAGGGTTCTTTTGGGCAGGAGGGTTATTTGCTCCACCGATGCTCAAAGTTAATCAGCACATACATTGGTCCCAAATGTCCAAAACTAATATGATGGCTTATGGCATAAGACAGCTGTTTAATAATTTCTCCATTTGTGTATGAGGACTATGGAGCAGGATTGGTAACAAAATTGAGACCACTGTGGACAGTTCTAATGCTAGCCTATCCAATGCTAGCCCTAATGGGCTTCAGATGAAGTAGACAATCCAGTGAGGGACCAGCCTAGGCATGCAAGTCACTAGCCAAGTCAAGCCAATGTGGGTGAGTTCTCTCCCTCTCAGTTACTAGCTTTCATTTGCCAGTGTCAGCTGCTTAGTTACTAGTGCCAGCCTATCATTGATCAGATTAGTTGTTGGCATCGGAATGGATATAGATTCCTGTGGTGGGGAACAGGATACCGCTAGGTACCAGATAGTTTTAATATGGTACCAAAACCACATGGTAGACAAAAGAGGCTCATGGCTGATAAGGTTTGTGCCTGGCATCTCTAAAAAGATCTTGAGTGGTTCTTTCATTGAGACAAATTAATTTAAATAGCATTTTTCCTTCTTTATGGAACTTCAGCAAATAGCTTTTTGTCTCTTACATGGTAAAAATAGTTGTGATATTTTATTGTGACTGATGATCTGGAACATTGACCTGCGACACAAAAAGGAAAAAACAGATTAAATCTTTAAGGGGGCGAAACCTTTTTCACAGCACTGTATTAGATATAACCTTACTAACAGAAGCACATTCTGTTATCTATTTCTATGGCTTTGCATGAAGGGTAGATATCGAGACCTTTTGTCACTGAATACAAAAGCAGTAGTTAAACATATTTTTTTCTCTAACTTATATTCCTCTTCTCAAAAAAAAAATGGGTAGATATACTAACTGCTGGTCAGTTTCTTTACCTTCTTTACTACACACATGAGTGGAGATGAAGTATTCTGTTTTCTACCCTTTCGTGTGGAGTAGTTTTTAAGAGGGGATACTTTTTGTCTTGGCAAACATATACAGAGTTGCTAATGAAAGAAAGGATATAGTAATGAAATTAAGTAGAGAAAAAAACAATAAGATTTTCATTGATTTTAATCTAGCGCCTTTGGAACGGATGTTGCTACAGTCATCCACCTGGCACATGTTTTTTTATTTGTCATTGACATAATTCCTCATCTTTTAACATGTTGCTTTTTAATCATCATTATTACACAATTTCACTGTGTCGAGAACATTTTGTTTTTATTTTTCTGACATCACATGTGTTATATTGGATTGGAAGATGTTTTTTTTATGTTTTATTTTCTGCTTTTAATTTGTCTAGTAGCTCCTCAAGTTGCATTGTCCACTGCCCCTTCTGTCCGGGCTGCAAACAGAAAGCGAGGTAGGAGCTCTGGAATTCATACATCATCCCTAGATGATACCCAAGCCTTTCCCCTGTGTCCATTGATGTGTATACTGACTCTTAACCTCCCTGATCCTTACACCACAGTGGTGGAGAGCTCCAAAGCTATTGTTATACCTCCAGCTCAGTGCTGGACTGATGACTCTGGATATAAACAGTCGATGAAGGGATCATTCTTGTTAAGAATGAATTCTAAACACTATAAAAGGAGTCATTTCTTTTCAGCGCATATATAAAGGCCTTTTCTGCTACAACTATTTTTGGGCAAACGTGTTTCTGAGCCCTTCCTTTCCCCCTTCATGCGTGCATGATTTATGACCTCAGCCTATTTCTGGAGAAGAGAGAATATTTGTCTTCTGAGACTATGTCTAAAGGAGTAAGTCATTGTAATGTGGAAAGCCTCAGCTCACACTTAGATAGGACTGCCTGATTTAGACAAGTGGTTGAACAGACTTGACTTTCTGCTCCTTTTGTTTTTCAAGCCTTGTCAGGTTAGCATTGGTTAAACTGAGAGAACTGACCTCAATACAGATTCTTAATAACAGCAATCCCTTGGAAGGAAGCACCATCTGCTAAACTCCCTATTCTGGAACCTTGAGTAGGCTGTCAGTCTATTCGATTGCCAACAAGGCTTAAGGGTCACATCTGTCTGATCTGTGCCACATGGTGTCAGTGGTCACTCAGTGTGACAGACTGAACCTCACAGAGAGTATTTAGGTGAGGTTTCTCTCCTACCAACTACCAGCAATGCCATAACTGCACATAGACTGCAACTGATCTGTAAACCAGCTTTATTGTCATACGTCATGCATAGCTTTTTTTTGTTTTTTTACTTTAACTTTGCACTTATAGGTTGTAAACTTCCTAACCTTCCCCTGTGTATTAAGGCTATCTTGGTTAAATGATATAGATCATTTTACATCTGAACAATCTGGTATATGTTGGGATTAAAATGTCATTTTTTTTAGTTCCTCTGAATCAGACATGAAGACTAGCATCTGTGACTTAGACTTGAAACACACTTCAAGTGCAAAAACAGACTCCAGACTTTACTTAGATTCATGCTATAAAGACTTGAGACCTCATTGGATTTTTTTATAATCTCGTTGACTAAATCTGCCCCGTTATGTATAGAAATGAGCGGTTGTCATGGCATTTTCATGCATAGCATGTTCATCAATCTCTTTACCTACCAAAAAGGGGTTGACTCCAGCTTCCATGTTGGTAGATTTTTAATAATAGCTATGATTGAGCAAACACAAAGTTAACAAGCGACAGCTCTGATGGAAAACTGTTTATTGTTGGTTTAAAGGGTGGCTTTTATTTATTTCTCTTCGACCAGGAGCTTTCAGGGACTGTTGGCTTTAAATCAGGGCTGTCCATAGTAAGTCCTTAAGGGCTGGTGCTCTGCATGTTTTAGATGTTTCTCTGGTTTAACACCCCTGATTCAGAAAATTGCAGCTCAGCAACAGCCTATCAATCACCCATCAACAGAAATAAGGTGATAGTCTCTCCATCAATATGTTCGTGCTTGTTGTGGCATTAAGATAATGGCCGTCCTGATTTATTTATCAGAGAAAAAAATATTGTTTTTTCTTTATTATTAAATAAACTTAATATTTCTCAGTGACGTCTTTCACTCTTTGCTAAGTTAACATTTTTATGAAGTCAGTGAAAGGTTTTCCTGAAAATTAAGATTCTCTCTCAGTTACTTCCTAAATTATACCAAGCTCTTGATTTTGTCATTTAACAAATACTTTGTTTAAACTTAAAAAAAATGACTTTCCAATTATGTGATAGTCTTTATATTGCACTTATTGAAGGTTTAAAGAAAAAAATAATTAATTAATAAATGAATGATCTGTATTTATAACCTGATACATTTGGTAAATTAGATGGATTTTTTTCTTATTTGAGTTTTTAGTGACTAGAGACTTTATTCTAATGTGAAAGTCTTGAACTTTGACTTTGCCTCTAAAAGAGTTGAGACTTGACTTGGGCCTGGATGGAACAACATATGAACATCTTTGTCAGGAGCCACCATAATTTTTATGAGTCAAATCAAGGATTAACAAAAGTTACTATTTTTACCAAGTAGTGAAAGATCCATTTCATTCATGGTTTGACCTGTCTTTGCTTTGTGGTGTCCAGTGGTAATCATGTATCTGTACCATCTTTGTCGCTTTGTGCTGTGATGTGCTTGAAGTACTGTAATGTGACCTCTGAAATCCTACTAACAATGCTGTTTCTTTGTGAGTGTGTGTCTGTAACTCTGGCTGTACCTTTGCCAGACTGACCATAATCTACCAACATCTCCTCCAACATGCAGCATCAGCATTTTCACCTCGCATGCCATGGCGCCTCGCTCAGACTTCTGCTAACCCTTCTGCTGTAGCGCTCGCAGCACGAACATCTCAACCCTCTTTTACCCGTCTCTTCCCTCCATACTTCCTCTCTTCTTGCAAGACTGCGAATGCTTCGGCCACTCCAAACGATGTAGCTACATCGAGGTGCTAAATAAAGTCATTTGCGTGAGCTGCAAGCACAACACTAGGGGCCAACACTGCCATCTGTGCCAGCAGGGCTACTTCCGCAATGCCTCAGCAGAACTGGACGATAAAAATGTTTGCATAGGTTAGTCTTACACCTGGCCCTCTTCACTGCCGCTATGCTTTCACACCTCTTCACCTCACTATACTGACTTTTACTTCTCAGAAGAGGTAACGTCATTCCATTCTACACCAGTTTGTCTCCCAAGTACATTGTCCTGTCCTCATGTCCCACAGTTGTCCCCCTATCTCCTTTTTCTCCCTTCGTTTTTGGCACTATTGAATTGCAATAATAATAAAAATGCTAAAGTGCTTTTAGATTCTACGGTGCACAAACATGGTAAAGAGCGATATTCTCTTGAAAAGTTGTAATGTTGTAAAGTTTCCGGTTAACATTTTCTTTTTTTTCTTATGTTGCAAACTCTGTGGTGATTGCTGGTTAGCTGCAGTTAATGTTTAGAAGTTAGTGTGAAACCAGAGGGCATGGGGAAAAAAATTAGGGAGCAATTTACTGTAAAGCATTGATATTTGTAGGTAAAGTATGTCCAGAGCAATATCAAAAACTCTTTTTTTAAAGTATGATGACAATAGGTATAAATATGATCTGTTTAATATATGTCAATTGTTTCCTTAAACTTTTTTAACTTCCAATGCACTTGTTGATTTTTAGCGTTAACAACAACATGGTTAAACAGCTAAGATACCTGAGCATTTGGATTCAAGTTCATGGAATCTTTAGCATAGATTCTATCCTAAGATACAAAAGGGGGAATAATAAAAAAAATTCTGAACTCTAGATCAGTTTCTAAGTATTTTTTTAATAAAAATTAATAAAGACATAACAAATATTTGACATATTAACTTTTGAAAACAACATAATATGTCAAGTGTTAGAATGAATACTAAATTTCTCTTAGATTTCTGCTTCACCATAGTAGCAGATGCACGTATATACAGTAGTAGCCATTTAAAATTTCCCCACATTCCTTGATGGGCCCTTAGCTGGTCCCCTACAATTCCTTTTTAAACACCAATCTTTGTACTAAAATGTTCTTTCTGTTATGATTTGTGGACATTAAGATGCGTCATCTCCTGGTCAGATCCTGCAATTTAGTGATAGGGTGGAGTTCGAGTAAAAAAAAAATGCAAGGCCAAGAGAAGGCCAGTGGCTGGAAGTTGGAGTGGATTTTGCTGGAGTCACAGGGCAGTATCCTGCCATCCGGCTGCTGTTTGACTGGGAAGGGCTATTTTGAATGGCTGCTACTGTACAGTATGAAAAAGCTGGTTAAAAAGAGGGGAAGCAAGCTTTTTCTGAACTTCACCTGTTGGCTATACAAGGCCCATGTTTTTAGTACACAACATAAATAAGGCCATCATCACCTAGTATTTCTATTTTCATCATGACTCATATGCAAACTCCTTAATAAACATCTATTTTTGCTCTGTCTACTACAACTCATGTAACTCCCAAGGTAATAGCTTGGTTCTCAACTGAAATATTTCCCTGGTATATATAGTGTGAATTCACAGCTCTGAGTGTCAGGTGCATTTGTACGTCCTGAGGGGGAAGTCTGACAGGTAACATGAGTTCTGAGAGAAATTTTTCCAGCGAAGTCACACAGGCAGTCAAAAATGCCAGGCTAGTGCATATGTCATATACATGAAATGGCCTCAGGAGGAGCAGCTGAAACCCGTCACTTGGCATTAAGAGTCACAGAGGCGTTACTGTGTGCCGAGCTTGCCATCACCCTGACTCCCTCTCTGACCTCCCCAGTTTGTCACATGCCGTCACCTCTCTCCTCTTGCCTGACCCCAGGATGTCAGTCAGGGGAAGCCAGGTGAAACGCAGTCATATTCGCTGCAATGTTATAGTCTGGGATTGTCAAAATAGGTGTCACTTTGCAGTGTTATAGTTCCTGCGGAAAGGTCAATTAAGCATAGGTCACCAGAGACATAACAGGTTATGTGTTCTCTTCGAAAGCTATTGATAAGACCCTTCTTCTCTGCTAATGTCAGAATGGAGAGAGGTACGTGTTTAGAGGCAGTTTCTAATTAATTAGAAATAAAGAATAAATTATGAAAATGCCCATTTCAATGTAAAGTTATCTCAACTTTGATCTTCTTCTCTTTTCACACCACCATCCATCTTCTATCTGTCCATCTATATCTCTGTATGAATAATTTGATTTTTAAGAACATTGCTCATTTAGGATTTCTAAGTCCATTTGAAATCAGGTCTACTGATTTTGCTTTCCATTCAAGTTCACTGCATACTAGGTTCTCATATACTGAATAGTTTTAAAATATTAATTAAGAATATGATATATGTATAAAGTGTTCATGCAACTAGAATCAACTTCATTCTTTGCTCATTTTCTCCATCGTCATTACCGTTGAAATGGATGCATTTGTATATTTTTGAAATTTAGTTAGACTTTGTTAACAGTTAAAGAGACAGGTTGGTTTCAGTAAATTAGAATATCATGGAAATTAAATGGGAAAAAAAAATCCTAAACCAAATATATTCAATATATGTAAAGGGATATGCTGTTTTTTTCGGTTATTTTGATGATTCATGCTCGCAGGTAATGAAGTCCAAAAATTAGTATTAGCAAACACATTTTCTATACATGCTGGTGAAGATCCTCATCTCATTTCATCCAGGTTAAAAAAAACATCCCACTGGACTTTGTTTCCAAGTTTGAAGACATTTCCCTTCCAGGAAGCTTTTTCAATTCAAAATGTCAGAATTACCGATAAGTTCGAAGCGTTATACAGTAGCCCAAAAGCTTGTTTTAGCTTAGAAAACATGCAAATTGAAACAGAAGAATGGATCCACCCCTTAGAAATGAGGAATTATTTGGGGCTCTTTGTTAACTTGCAATATCAGATACTGGTCTATGCCTCCGAAAGGAGGCGAGATGTTTTGACCCCTGCATGGGGGTGGGTGAAAGGGGTGTAAAGAAAGCTGTTAAAGAAAAAAACAACCTTAAACAGCGGGGGCGGACTCAGGTTTCAGCTCTCAAAAATCTACAATGCAGCATATAGTTTATTCCTTCCCACTATCCCTTCAACCCCCCACCCCCATGTGAATAAATTACTTGTGGGAGCAATTGGAATAAAAGTGAAAACATACAAGTCATTGATAATCTCCCTCAACCTGGGTTCCCATGTGAGATCTCATCTTGTTAGGTCAAAATGATCATGAGAATGATGTGCATAAATTACACAACTACAGTATATTGATGGACCTGCCGAATGACCTACAAAGAGTTTGGACCAATTGGGACCATTGTCAGGTGTTTCCCCCCTGCTGCTGAAGCCAGTACATGTCCAGGTCCAGTTGAAGTTTGCACATGGACAGAGAAGAGGATTAGGAGAAATTCATGGGGTCGGATTAAAAGAAAATGTAACTTTTGGCACAAACTCAACGTTTTGTGTTCAGAGAAAGAATACACTATTTGCATAACAAGAGCACAATAAACACTGTGAAGCATGGGAGTGGAAATATCATGCTTTTGGGCTGCAAAGGATACTGGGTGACTGATCTGTGTAAAGGGAATAAAAAACTGGGACAATGTATCATGAGATTTTAAGCCGAAGCCTCCTTCCATCAATGAGAGCAGTGAAGATAAATCGTAGGTGGATGGGTCTTCAAACACGTCTCTGGCTCAAACACACTTGGGTGGCTCTGTGAAAAGCATTTAAGGTCATGGAGTAGCCTAGCCAGTCGCCAGACCTTAACCCCATGGAAAAGAGTTGATTTCTATGGAGGAATGGACCAAAAACAAAACAAATTTTTAAAAAAAACCTACATTATTTCCTGGATTTTTTTCTCATTTTGTCTCTCATCGTTGAAGTGCACTAATGATTATCTAAGTTAGATAACTTGCAAAATCAGTGGCTGACTGAGTACTTTTTTAGCCCTCTGTACACAAAATGACTTTGTACCCCTACATTATTTGTTATGTAGCTTTACCTTATATTCAGTTTTGGGACAACTAGCTTTATCTAGAATTACCAATCATGACTTCATTGAATCTTTGCTGGACAACCAATGAATTTGTAGGTCATAAGATGACCACTTCACAATATCCTGTATTTATTCATGTTTTTGGTCTTATCTTGTGTTACAATTTTCTGAGTAACAGAATATTTTTCCTTAACTGTGAGCCAGAATCATCAAATGAATAGAAATACATACTTGAGCTATGCAATACGTATTCCACTGTGTATAAGGAATCTATCTTTGAGACTTTTTGAATTGATTCAATGGAATAAACATACTTTTCTTTGATATTCTAATACGAAAACCTCTAACAGAACTCGAGAAGCTGTGAGAAGCCTAGACGTGTGCCGGGAAGTCAAAGCACCGACCTGTTCTCCAGCCTGTGTGTGTGTGTGTGTCTTGTTTTTTCAGAGTGTAATTGTAATCCTTCTGGCTCAGTCAGTGATCGCTGTAATGGCACAGGATATTGTATATGTAAGGAGGGCACTACGGGCCCCAAGTGTCAGGAGTGTCTACCCGGCTATTTGTGGGAAAATGGCTGCAAATGTAAGTAGAACCACCACTCTCCCCATGTCCAAACTGCCCGACTGTTCTGCCTCAGCTCTGTCTCCTTCTGCTTTCTTCCTCGATGTTTGCTCTCTCTGTGTGATTCCAAAGCTTTGGCTGGAGGAATGCGCTGTATATGCGCTCCATCATTGTTGAGACAAATCTCCTGCATACTTTTCTACGCCATTACCGGAACCTCCATTTCACCCTTCCTATGGCTGCAATACTAATGCGGGATCAGAAGGTGCCCGTTGTGGCCTCAAACAGACAAAGAAGCAACGGCATGGCAGGATGCATGCTGCTCAGTCGCAGAGGCGTGTCGCACACAGTCGACACAACAGCTGAGTCAATATTGACTGCTTGACACACTGCCTGTGATCCTCTTTGCCAGCACACAAACAGGACAGTGATGTCCAACACTAATGTTAACTTTTTTTTTTTCAAAGGAGGAAATAGGTCGTTTTAGGCCCCACACATCCATTATAGTCTATCGTTTATATTTCCTCAGGTCATTTTACAAAGCATGCCCCATAAAGTTTGTTTTCCCACAAATGTCACCAATTTTTTTGTTGTTTTCAACATGTCATGCTATCAGCGACAAACCTACAGGTAGAGAGAAATGTGAACTTTAAGAAAGACATGGATTTAAACCTTTTGAGGGAGAAATTTAAAGACAGAAGACATTTAAACCTTCTCCGATTTTTGACCAGGCAAAAAAAAAAAAAAAACTGTGACAGGTGAGATGATTTATGGATCGATTTTAGAGGATGTTTATATTATTTTTTTTTTCTTTTTAGATCAAAGCCAGTTGTGTATTATCTTATTATTCTAAGAGAGCAGACATTCATCAAAAGCTACAAACATCAACCTAAAGAGCTGCATGAGAAAATATAATTTCTTCACATAAGCTACAATATATAAAAATTAAAGATCATATATGCCCTGTTTTAACTAAGTGCATCTGGTTCTGATAGCAGCATATTTGACCGATCCGTACCAAGCAATGAAAGGAGCAACATTCTTGAACACAGTAAGTTCTTATGTTGCATCCAATGAAAAAAAGAACATTTTAATCATTTAAAGAGATAGGCGTCAGTTGACACCATTAGCCACAGTTAAGAATTGCTTTCTTTAAAATACCAAGGATGTGTGTCGTACACCATTGTGAGATGCTAGAGCCACAGTACTCACAGTAGATCCATCTTGATAAGACAGCCAATATATAATACCATCGATTGCTATTGGCTTAACCACAGATTAACTGTTAGAGGTTTTCCCAATGTGCAGTGAATCAAGCACCATTAACATACAAAATCAGAAAACTTCCAAGAGCTTTGCAACATCAATTTAAATTATGCTGCAAAAGTGCATATATATTTATACTAAAGTTAGTGGATGAATGCTGGTGATGGAGAACGAAGCATGGACTGCTATATTGGTTGTGCATGATGGGGAGCATCATGGTAAATCACATCAGCTGAAACATGGCAACATCACAAAAGATTCCTCATTTTCAGACCTGGACAATTTTATCAGAAGCATTAACTCTTTTTAATAGAAAAGCTTTGTGAATGATTGCTAAGCACCATGTCTGTAAATTATTTCAAGAGTTTGCTGCTACTGCTGTTTTATTAATATTAAACCATATGAACAATTAAACACTATTTCTTTCTTATCTTAAAATGATTAAAGATGTATCCTTTACCGAGGAACAGATAAAGAAATAGTGGCAAATGAGAAAGAGATTGTGTTATTTATCCCTAATCATTATTATATTATAATATTATTATTATTATATTTTTGTACTTGTAGTACTTGTAGTGTGGCAGGTATTGGTGACTGTGTTGGCAAATACTTAAATCACTTGAATCAGTATTAAGACACCCAAAGAACTGGTTCTTCCTGTCCCAAGAATAAATAAACTATGTTAAATGTAAAAGCATTGCACCTAAAAAATTGCAAATTATATTATTCTGCTTGCACATCACTCTGCAATAGCTTAACAGGCACATCGATGAGGCAGGAGAATGTCCTGAACTTTATCCAATACAAAAAATATATCAAGATGTCCTTTTATCTACGGAGTTTGTGTGTGGAGGTGGATGAGACGAGGAAGGTCAGTCACAGGTCAGCACTCATTCTCACTGAATAGCAAGTATGATTATTGCAAAACCTATTGCCACCTAAAGATGTTTAGTTGTTTTTTTGTTTTTTTTACAAATTGTATTCAGTCATTGTTTCTCTAAAACTTTAAAATTAAGCAAAACCTGCAGCATTATGATTTATATTCAGTGCAAAGCACAGCAAGTTATTTTAGTCATTTTTGCACAGATGGATCTTCATTAAAATGCACTGTTTTTCCACTGCAACTTGTTGGTGGTTCCTAATGTATTCAGTGTGTACAGAGTAAACACACGCTGTCAGTGTGCACATCTGTTTCCACACAAAGGGACGTTTGAAAAGGGAAGGCAAGCATGGCTCACATCCCATCCCCTCCCCTCCAAGGGTTAATCCAAGTTCAAATCCTGATGCACCACTAGGCAGAAATTTTTTAACATAATTTTATTTTAGAAGGGCATCAAAGTAAGCATCACATATTAAATCCTAATGTGGTATGGCGTTAGAACCAGGCTCTTGTTTTGGCAGGTTACTTGAGACTGTTGTAAAAATGCATATTCACCCAAATTTTACACCCAGGGATAAAAATATGAATGTTAGAACGACTACTTACACACAATCTCCTGATGTTTAGATACCATTTTGATTTTTTTTTAACCACCAACAGAACAGTCAAATCCGCATCACAACACCACAGTTTCTAATTTGGCTTTCAATGCAAACATTACAAATGCTGACAGCTTGTTATAGTTGAAGGTGAGGTGTAAAAACTAACCCTAATTAAAAGCAGGTCATAATAAGATTAAATAAATGTGATAAAACCAAAGGATGCTGCATGTTTATGCATTTCATTGTAAAGTTTAATGTTAATCATGTAAATATTTTGTTGAATATATAAAAGCTAAATGAGGGGAAAGAGATTAAAAATAGCATGAAGTTCATCAGTGATGGAAGGACCCCTTATTTAGGGAACTAATGCTCAGATACGTTGTACATAACCCTCAATCAAATTATCAGTCAACGATGCAACAAAATCCTTACAGTTAAGTACCCTTATTTTCACATTAGCATGATAAAATTCAACCTTTAATTTCAGGTAACTTTTGAAAGCCACTGTAATTGTTTTTGGATACGTTCATGGTGATAGCAAGCATTATACAGTTACTATCTACCCAAGAGTGACAGTTGGAAAACTTTTCAGTCCTGGTCTTTTTTTTTTTTTGCCTTCGCTGATGCAGATCTTCTGTTCATGACCAAGACCCATCCTGCAGTCAGACTGGAAAATGCAATTAAAACTTAAATCTCTCCTCAAACACATCATTTTCCCAGACACGCACACCTAGTTCACTGGTTCCTTCTCTAAATATTATCACTCATATCAAAGGCAAACACAACAAATCTTGTCATTTACTGCCTGCGCTGCCTTTGTTTACTGGTGGTAATGCGAAATGGTCGATGTGGGGGAATTGAAAGCGGATAAAGAGCCGCAGAGCTCTGAAAGGAGGTTCTGAGGCTATGTCGGTGCTACAGCACCTTTAATCTTACTGAACTTACATGTCTGACAAAACTTGTTATTGACGCTTGTTTTCAAATAATCAATAACTTTGTTTCATGTTAGATCTTGGCTCTGCTTAATTGGCAGGTGATAAAGCACGGTGGCTGCAGGGGATGGCAATTACCTTGACCTCCCTTTGAATTAAGCTGAACTTGCTGTTCAGCCTTAACCCTTGAGCTGAATTATTTTTGAACAGGATAGTTCTTTAAGAGAAAAAGAAATAACAATATAGTTATTACTTCACAATGAAAAAAAAACTAACACTATTTTAATCTGTATCCTCAATTGTATTAACATTGAATTTAATATTATTTCTGGTTACTAGATACCAGAATAAAGAAAGATGTTTTTTGTTTTTACTTTCTGTAAAACATACAGACCGAAGATGTGCAAACAGACCCCCCTATTTCCATAAATTTGTTTTGATGCTCTGGTGACCTAAAATTAGGTGAAATTGGGGGAATATGTTTTTTTATGAAGTTTGAATTACAAAACAAAATATCCAAAAGAAAAAGGCACAAGCTCACAACTTTATAAATAAACATTAACTTGTTAGTGGAAAACATGATATACCGTATGAACAATCTTGTATTTTGTACTACTACTCTTATTCTCATAACAGTTTCATGCAAAATCATCCCTCGGATACTTTTTTGTTATCACATTTCAATTCAGTAATGTGATTGGATAAGCCAAATTATTTTGATATTATGCTTTTATGAATTTTTTCAAATATGAATTAGAAATCTGCACTCTGTATTCAACCTCATTTACTTTGACTCCTAAAAAATAACTCAACCTCACTAACTGGCCACTAAAGTCGCCACAACAGAGGTAATCTATAGGTACGTTAAAGTGGATTAGGCAAAAATAAAACAAGCATAATCCTATCTTCAAATAAATCAATATACAGCAAGCATTCCTCTTAATAATGTTTATATAGTCCCTTTTGAGCCTTAAGATGTTTTTAGCAGGTGTTCTTAGCAGACATTAAGATTGTGGCGCATTATTTATCAACATTAACAAAACTTGAACCAATGACATGTATCATGCGCGTTGCTTACTCTAGATGCACTTTTCTGTCACTTTACTGTAACTAAAGGCCAGATAATAGTATTGGTATCAATAGCATCAGTAATGCTGTCAGCATGGCAGCTAAATCTGAATACTTCCACGGTTCTCGCTCTCGCTTCAGGGAACAGGTTCATATTATTTTCAGAGTGCTAATTGTATCCTATCCCTTTTGGCATAAATTGTTTTTGCAGTTTTTCACAATTCTATCTTGGGGTGTTCCTCTGCTTCATTGCTTCTCCCATAGACATGATAT